AAGAACGGGTGTTTTCCTAATTTGGATTAGGTGCCCGGTTTGGGGCATAGTGGACCAGGTGGCGCCCGGGTGGGGATAACCAACAGGGACTAGAGAGATAACCCACAGCCCAGTCGCGTCTTTTCAGCCCTGGCCTTTTGGTGTATGATAAAGTAAAATCGATGCCCAAATCGGCGTACCACGGTGCGTATACTCAGCAGCCTGTTAACCTTTTCTCCCGTCCCCACATAATACGATAACACATAACACCTGATACGCACCAAAACATGATTCCAAAGCTTTTTCCTGGAAGGCCGTCAATGTTGACGACACGAACTCGTGCTGGGTCTTGCGGGTCTTGTGTTCCTAGCTGTAAGTGGAACGGATCTCCGGAAGTCTGTGAGGCTTCGGCCTGAAAATGCGATGTTAGTCAAAAATTTAAAATCAACTCATTTTTAAAGCAGACCAAACGTATAAATTAGCTACCATTTTTTGAACCGCTTCCAAGCCTGCCGGTGAGAGAGTACCGGAAATCCCACTCCAACAGTTGTGCGGCCGGAATGTCTCCCCGATCGCTTGCTCCACCTACAATGAAATACTCGAAGAGACCATGCTAGCATTTGGGGTACGTTATTTCCAAAAACACCGAGTTCAGCGTTAATTTATTCTTGACATTAAAATGGGAGAAACCTACACTTCTGACCGAAACTCCGCCAGCTTTACGCAGGGATTTCGCTGTGCCCGATGCGTCCCAACGAAGATGAGTAGCCGCGGGGTGGATTTCGGCAACGAGGGCGAGTCTAAAATAATTTCCCATCAAAGTATCAAATAGTCGGAATCGGTAAAGCTTTATCAAATAAATTCAAACACAATGCGAAAGCGCGTCAGTTCATAATTTCGCAAGTCCTTAAACGAGCCGAAAAGTGCCAGAATCAACCCATTTTGTAGAAAATAGGGTTCTTGACTGTTAACGGTAGTGATCTCCCCCGCAAACAATTCAGAACCGGAAATTTTGCGCCGTTGGCGGGTTCGTTGGTTGAAACCGTTGATTGAGCGCTCACCCGAGGGCAAACGAGCACTGATCAAGGCTGCATAGAGGTATCATCAGCATTCGGTTGAGGCTGACCAAGAGCGAGTCGTCGGCCGTGGATCCCGTGATGTATTGCAGCGGGGTCTCACCAGTTAGCGTAACCAGCAGCAACAACTGATCTTGGATTCTCGGCAGTTTTCTTTCCCAAGTAGCCTTCAGTGTCGGCTTGGACTGAAAATATGACAGTTTTTCGCCACCTTTTTTCTGCCTTCATAGCTCAACTTAAGGCTACGCTTAACCTAAACCCTGGGCACGACTTATGGCTAAGCCTAAACATACCTAAGCCTGAGCCTGACCATCACTAGGCTTCACCAAAAATAAGCCGAATCGAAGCATACCTACGCCTGAGCCTCCCCCTACGCATGCCTAAGCCTCGGCTAAGCCAAAGCAGACCCAGGCCCAGGCCTGAGTCTAACCCAAAACCTAAGCGTACCTAGTTTGCCAAAGCCTCAACACAGGCCTAAGCCTAAGCATGCCTTACCCCAAACTAAGCTGCGCTAAGCCTAGGCACAAATGAGCTACAAATGAGCAATAAATGTGCTGTACTAAGCCTATCTAAATTATCCTAAGCTTAGTCTAACTACCCACTATTGATGATTGCTTATTCTATTATAAAAGAAACGAAATGAATACCACAATTCTGTCCTTGTATGCCTCCTTGAAGATGACCGGGTTGCGGCTTGTCGAAGGGTCGCCCTTCACTCCGGTCCCAAAGGCCTTCCGCGCCGGCCGCTGGAGAACGTTCTTGGCCGTGTCCTCCCAAAATTGGGCATCTTTCTCGAGCAGGTCGAGAAGCGCCTCCCTCTACAGGGTGCGTCAAAAAAAAAGAACGAAGTTTGCACTGAAATATCTCCTGATCGGAAACGAATCGGACCATGGTTACCTTGCCAGAATGCTTAAATATGCTGGGCATGAAGAAATAACACAAGTTGTTTTTTAAGATTTTTGACGACCAGTGGGTCGTTAAAAATTTTTGAACATTTTTGAAAAAGTAAAAAACTTTGAAGCGATAAAGTATGGAACTTTTTATTAGTTAGGGGGATGTTAAGGGTATCAAAATGAAGCTCTCGGAGTGCGCTATCGAACCAGTGGTAAAGGAGTTTGATCGGTTTAACTAGCCGTCAATAGGAGTATTCGGAAAATCCCGACTTTTTGAAGAAAAAAATTCCAGATAACATTTTCTTACCATCCGATCTTTCTGATAATTTGCGGCTAGCAATATATAAATAACTACTAACTTTTGGCATCAAGATTTTCAAAATCCCGATCAAAAATTTTTTTGGCATTCTGCCAAGTCGGTCGAAACTGCAAGTTTTACTTTAATATAGTTAAAAACATAGCATGATTAGCGTTGGCAAACAGCATTAAATTTAATCAACACAAAAAGTTATGAGGGCGATAGGCTTTTTTTATGGTCAACTCGGAATCGCTGATTCCCGAAAAGTCGGGATTTTCCGAAGACTCCTATTGACGGCTAGTTAAACCGATCAAAATCCTTTACCACTGGTTCGATAGCGCACTCCGAGAGCTTCATTTTGATACCCTTAACATCCCCCTAACTAATAAAAAGTTCCATACTTTATCGCTTCAAAGTTTTTTACTTTTTCAAAAATGTTCAAAAATTTTTAACGACCCACTGGTCGTCAAAAATCTTAAAAAACAACTTGTGTTATTTCTTCATGCCCAGCATATTTAAGCATTCTGGCAAGGTAACCATGGTCCGATTCGTTTCCGATCAGGAGATATTTCAGTGCAAACTTCGTTCTTTTTTTTTGACGCACCCTGGATTAAAGGGCCAGTTAAGTGATGTTGACCAGAGCTATACCTCATCAATGATCACCCCGATGACGGCGACTTCTCGGCTGGCCGTGGCCCTTGCGCGTCGCCAAAGATGTTCCCGGCGCGCGGCCGCGAAGGCTGGTAACTAAATAAAATTCTGGAAGGTTAAATCGATTTACTTCGTGTTGGCGAAGCCGCGCTTCGGTTGCGTCACGGCAGCTGGTTGGGACGAAGCCGTGGAGGATCGATTCCAGGCTAATTTATCATACATCATCGGTAAGAGTCGGATGGCACCAACCTTTTGGCAATGTCGGCAAATTCTTCTTCGGTTTCGGCATTGTTGAGCGCGATAACTATGGACCACGGGAAGCGATCCTCACAGATCAGCACCCGGACTGGGACATCGGGGATTGCTGAATCAAAAAACCATGAATAGAGTCGAAAGCCTTACCAGTTCGGAGCAGATCCCCGATTTCTTCTTTGAGCAGCTCCATGGCCAATAATTCAACCGGCGTCGACGGGTCCGGCAGGCGCCTATATTAAAAATGCAGATGTTTAGAAACAGATGCAGTATATTTTGCTATTCGGGTAATTAGCAGCAGGTCTCAAGAAACGCTGGGCTGTTTACTAACCCGAGCTTAAATTTAAGAGCAAAATAGCTATAGCAATACAGAGCACAAAACTAATTTTATTTAATTAAAATTTGTAAACGATTTAAAATTTAAATTTAAAATAAAATTTAATTGATCAAATTTAATTTTGATGCCAGCCAAAAACAAGACAAAAAAATTATAGCGTCAAAAACAGGCAACACACGCAGAACCGGTGGCCGCGCAGAATCAGGCCCCCGGGGCTACTTGCTAATTGGCATCCCAGAAGAAAATTCTTTGGGCCTTCGGGTGAGGTTTTGACTTTGAAGTTATTGCGCACTTAATGGCGATCCAATTATTTTCTATGCGTAATAAGATCGCTACCAAAAATCTATTGCTATTTCGATTAAATAACCAACAACTTTTTAACCCTTTCCTTGTATCATAGACCCTGAAAAATGTACCAACAGACGATGCCGAGGCTTTTTCCTGGCATCCCTTCCATTTCGATCATGCGAATGCGCCCTGCATCCGAGGGGTCGTCGACGCCGAGCTGCAGATAGCACGGTTCGCCGCACGTCTCGTAGGCGTCGGCCGAAAAACGCGGGGGTTAGTGTGACCAAGGAAACAAATAATTTTACCTTGCCCTTTGCCGCTTCCAATGCGGCAGGCGTGAAGGCTCCTGTGATGACCGTCCAGGTACGCATCATCGTACCGACCATCTTCTCTAGCTAGAATAAAATAATTGGTATGCAGACTACTATGCGCGAAAAGATATGTTCTACAAGAAATTGGATGAAACTCACATTTTAGCGTTTTTGTGTTTTTCGAGATTTTAAAAATGCCTTTCTATCAAGGGTCCGAAATTAGATCGTACAAACCATAGTTAAGCGATTTTCAATTATAAAGAAACTTTCAAGCCGCTCCCGTTATTTTATACCCATACCCCCGCCATTTTATTCTGTTGTTGATTTTGTCCCTTCAAGCACGAAAAACATACACTGCGCAAAGATATTCCTCCGGCTTTCCTCAAGGCGTTGACCGTGCCAGCAGCATCATACTGGAGTTGGGTAGCTCGAGAGTGCATCTCGGCGGCCAGTGCGGTTCTAAAAGCATTTCCCATAAAAGTATCCATGGGCAAAACACGGCAACTATCTATAACAAAATCACGTCAAAATAATCCGCTCAGCAAAAGATATTAAACAGATATTGCCAATGGCTTTCTAATGAATTCTATCAATCTCTATTGATATCCAAATGTAAACAAATTTCACAGTAGTTTTTAGTTTTTACGTACATAGTTTTTAGATATAAAAAGTTTCTAAATATTAAAAAAACTCCACTTATAATATATTAAAAATGACCAAGAAAGCTCAACATTTTCTTAACACGATCAAAATATATAATATATTATCAATAGGTAGGTAGGTGGAAAAACAAAACGTAGTTTTCCTTCCTGCAGAACCCGCCCCCTTCCCCGCTAACAGTCTAGTACTGATTATATTGGTTTCTTTAGTCTCCGGTTTGGTACGATATCTGCGTCCCCAAGGGATGGATGCTCACCGAAAAAGCAGATGGTAGCCGTCGACCGACCGATCCGCGAGCTCTTGGCACATCGCCCCAATTTCGCGCCGCGTCACATCCTTGTTGTGCAGCACCGAGTAGATCTCGGTGGCAATGTCGGCCAGCACCAGTTCCTTTTGTACTTGCGCTCGCCCGGCCTCGTCTGGGTTGTCCGGGTGCGCAAACCCCCAACCCATCGCAGCTGCCAAAGCGGGGCCAATCTCGGCAGTCGTGAGCTGCAAACCCAGGTTCCGCCTGTAAATTTACACAATAGCATTCAAAGCCGGCGAAGGGTCGAGGTTTCTCGAGTCGAAGTGAGTGAAAAAGTAGATATAGGAAAGAAAAGAAAAACTGGATCGTGAATGCTAGAAATTAAAAATTTAAATGGGCCGCAAACTTATCCAAAGATTTTGCGCCGAAACACCGGTTTTAAAATAATTGAACACTCACTTGATGTCCTCGCAGAAACGGCCGTTAAAAAGGTGCGCTCCGTTGGTAGGGCAGCGGCGAAGAGTGTCCAAGGCTTGACATCCTGAAAAACGAAAATACATAACAATAAATTTGCATCACACAATTTTCGCCGAACAGGAAGGAAACAAACTATTAACATTACAACTATCGAAGTGAGCATCATTTCCGGAAAAGGTATGCAGAATTTGTATACAACTCGTGAATGCAATTGGTAAAGTGTGGAAATAGAGAAGGTAGGCTTGGAGCCGTCTAACGAACGTTCCTATACGCATAAATTCGCAAGAAAAAGGCCAAAAGTAACAATAGCGCGCTTCGCCGTTTGCCCCGGTCCGCGCAGAGAAGTGCTACGCGAGGCTACAAAGTACCCATTGCCAATCTAGCAACTTTATAACTTTTCGAAAATAAGTTTAAAGTGAAAAGTAACGCCTGGCCGATTGTTAAAATGACTGCTGCCCTTTAATGAGGATATAATCACAATGAGGAGCATTAACTAACGGAAAAGCCAGGGAAGAGCAAATCAGAGAAGAGCTGATATAAAGCAGAGTGCCCGAAATTCGCGGCTACCCATCATTACTTCTAAAATCATTACTTCTAAAATCATTACTTCTAAAAGTCATGACTTCTAAAAGTCATTACTTCTAAAATCATTACTTCTAAAAGTCGTTACTTCTAAAATTCTAAGCGTATTTTTGGGCATAAATATGCCGAAAAACTGGTAATCCCGCATACCAAATTTTAGAAGTAACGTTTTTAGAAGTAATGATTTTTAGAAGTAATCCCTTTTAGAAGTAATGACTTTTAGAAGTAATGACTTTTAGAAGTAATGATTTTAGAAGTAATGACCGTACCCCCTTTTGGTAGGGAGCGCCGCGAGGAGTGGCCCTTGGTTGTCCGGATAGCGAATATGGAGGTTCGCTCAAATCGTGCAAAACAGTGCAAATTCGAATCAGGGATGGGAATAGTCTTAAGGGACAGCAAGTGGAAATGTAGCGCGATTAACCAGTTGTCACTAGAACAAAAAGGCTGTCATTAAGGAAAGCTGTCTTTAGAACCTGAAAACGCGGTTTAGTCCCTCCTAAAAGCCCAACCATAGAAATAGTGGGGGTTTGCCCATAATCCGGTGTACAGGGGCACTCACACGGTGCGTGGCCAGATGCTAGCGATCGGGTAGATCACGTAAGTTGGCAGGTCGAGGTGCGAAACCCCGTATGACGAGTTGCGCAAGGAATTTTCGATCGCTACTGCTAGACAGTAAAACGATTATTAGTATTTAGTCGTTGCGAAACTGGGCACAAGAATCAATTTTTTGATAAAACCATTGCGTAGTGCCCAGTTTTTATTAAAAACCTTGATTTTCTATATTTCCCTGCACCTAATCTAAGGGTCCCACATGTTATCCCCTTGCCCCTCTTGCTTGAATTTTCCGATGTTCTGACTCATCACCCGACGCCTTGTTTTCGAAATGCGAGGATGGGTTGGCGATGTTGATTTTCCCACGGGGTCCACCGTCCCAAATCGATACAGGGAGGCTGGTCACTCGGAAATTCTGTGAGCTGGTGCTCAGACGCCACCCGCTCGAGCCCCCTTGCATTCACCCAGACGCTTCCCGAGGCGAGGGGGGCATTGGTTCGAACCGGGCTGTAAATGCTACAGTAGCACTCAGTTTTTCATTTAAGTTTTTTTTATTTTACAGAGACTTGCCGTTGGATATTTAAAACTTTTCACATCCCTTTTATGGTCGATCTGGGGCTTGGGTAAATCCGCATTTTTAGCCCTCAGAATACAATTTGGCCCTACAGTTAGTGCTAAAACTGATATATCTGCCGCTGTTTGAATTCCGTTCTACTTTAATTACTTTCGCAAGTCCACGACAAATTAACTTCACATCAATTAGTTCAATACATTTATTTGCAGTCTATTCGCCTCAGCTAGGGAATTTTTCCAATAACATGCGTCGCTACATCAATGTGCGGCCACGAGGGGCATTCAACAACCGAATTGCCCACAAATCTTCAAATTATAGATGACGATGATAAAAATGTTTAATTGGTAAGGTTTTTTAAAATTAAAATCCTTCCATTCTTTTCTTGCTGGTGATTCGAATTTCTACACGTTTTAGAAGCCACCGGAAATCTGTAGTGTCCAGCCTACCAGCCTACCACTGGTACCTGCTGAACTTCAACGTTGTGTAAATGTACGAACCGGCAAATTTTAAAAGCGGGATAAAGATTGAACAGGATAAAAAATTAAGGTAGCTTTCATTTTATGAGTTCACTTCTTTTTGGAAAAAAAGAAAAAGCATGGTTTTAGAAAAGGAAAAATTCAAGCACCCAAAGATTGTGGGGCGTTTATATGCGCTGCCGATCAGCACGTCCACACGATAATTAAAATGGAAAAATCAGCTGATAAAGGTGGGTCGTCGTGAAAAAAACCAACGAAGCGCTAGCGCAATCGTTAAAAATACTGTCTAAGCAAACGGCGAAGTAAAGTGTGCCGATTTTCGAATTCTTTATTTTGATGCGCGCCTGTAAGCCCTTGCAAAAAAACTAGTCAACCCGGTTCTTAGCAACGAGGGGAATTATTTTGATGACTAAATGACCATGCCCTTGTAGTCTGCAAAAGTTATCCTAGTTATTATTCTGTATCAATTTTTAAAGAGGACGGAACGATGCTATGGCGACTGGACAACTGCCCACTGCTGGGCTCGAACTTTGTGAAAATATATATGGCCCAACTCGTTTCCGAAGCAATGCCGTTTGTCGGTATAGCATATTTTTGAGGCACTAGGTTGGTTTTACTCTCATTTTGTTTGTTTTGATTTTAGAATACAAAAGAACTGTAATAAAAACCTGTTTTAGAAAAGGTTCAATGAGATCGGTCGGCAACGACTGCGGCGCGTTTGTGTGCGTCTACGCGTCACGATTGCGCACAATAAAGAATGAAAAGGAAAAAAGCATTGGAAAATGAGCATATGGCAAAGGTAAACTCTTTAGAAGTAATTTTTTGCCTATTAGTTTCGCAAGTAAGTGAGATCTGTTTTAAGAAAAAGGTCGAATTTGTTATCGGCCGGGACAAAATCTGTTTTGGAAAACCGGCGAAGGAAATTTTGGAAATTTTCAAATCCTTAATTTTGATCCGCGCTGAACGCTACTTGGAAAAATTTATTACTGCCCCTCCGTACCTTAAAAACTTAGTTTAGGAGAAGCGGAAAACTGTTGTGGCCTGTGTGCACTGGTAACCGCTGACCTTCGACTTTGTAAGAATGTATCGCCCGACAAAATCAACTATTTTCGAGGCACCAGGTTGGTTTTGTTTTATGAAATGCATTTGATGAGATTCAACCTGACGACGTCAAGGCCAATTTTAGAAAAGGACATACCTGGGCGCCGTACAACGATTGCGGCGCGTTCGTGTGCACTGGCGATCCACGCTACCATACGATAATTGGAATAAAAAAAATCATGCTCAAAATCCGGACGTGCAATTAGGTAGGTCCCCTAGTGATAATCGTTTCTCTACCGCTTTTTATTATATAGAAGTTTAAAACTTAGAATATTTATTAAAAGTGCTAATTGCAAACCTGTTCTATTTTTTTTGGCTGATACGCTACGAAATTCGTCACCCCCGTTTTTAATAAAAATTTGACACCAACATCTTAAATTATTAAACTTCCTAAAAACAGTGTTCAGAATTCAATTCGCGCAGGGACCTGATCACGGAGGTGTATGGCATCGAAAGATGTCCGATAGTAGTGTCTGAGAATATGGATGAATTTGATAAGCTGAAAAAAATCGGCTAAGGAGCACTAGCTACCAGGGTTGGTCATTTGAATACCCGTACCCGTTTTCGGTACCCCGGGTTGTACCCGTACCCGTACCCCCGAAATTAGCATACGGCGGGTAGATACGGGTACTACCGGGGTACTACCCGTACCCGTACCCCGACATTTGCATAAGTTCTGCGGGTACGGGTACATATCCAGGTACGGGCACGGGTAGGTACCCTGGTACCCTAGGGTATTTCCTGTTTTCGATGCAAAGCTCAATTTTGGATGCAAGCCTGTATCCGATTCTTGTTTCGAATGCAAATCACGGATGGGAGATGGTAGTCGATAGAAAATTCATTATTTTGCATCCAAAATCGAGCTTTGCATCGAAAACCGGAAATACCCTCGGGTACCAGGGTACATACCCGTACCCGTACCCGGATATGTACCCGTACCCGCAGAACTTATGCAAATGTCGGGGTACGGGTACGGGTAGTACCCCGGTAGTACCCGTACCTACCCGCCGTATGCTAATTTCGAGGGTACGGGTACGGGTACATACCCGGGTACGGGTAGGGTAGTATCCGGGTACCAAAATGACCAACCCTGCTAGCTACGATGCATTCAGGTTCATTAATATTTTTATTATTAATTCCTCTCTTACGCATTTACAATTTTTTTGTATCCTTTAGAAAGACCAGGCAGCAGACGTACGCTGAAGCACGCCCGAACTTCGAAAAAATGATGAGCAAGTCCGTGAAAATGTTGGTTAGAAAGTGAGGGAACGGCTGGATTTTCAGTTCAATTATTAACTCGAAAATTAGTAGCATTAAAGTTTCTTCAGGACAACGCGCGAATGAAGCCGTTCTCGTGAGCTACGACGACTTTCTGATGGACCCCGGGCGCTTCGTACAAAAGCTAGAGCGCCTGTAGAAATGGTTTTCGTCACCGAAAATTTAGTAAGTTTGTTTCATGATAGAGATGGTAGAAATTAGGGAAACAAAACTCGAAACAACAGGAAATAGGTGAAAAGGAACTTTTTCGTTAGGCTCAAGACGAATTGCGTTTGCCTCGGAGTGTGTGAATAGTATGGGCCCGTCAATTCCACCGACCGCTCTCAATTCTGGTTTTTAAAGTTGCCAGAATTGGAATTTCTTGGGAGCAGGCAACTTTGTGTTACATTTTATATCCTATGATTCGCGTTAATGCACTCGATATTTTAATAGAGGCTAGGTTCCTAATAGATTTTAATTCAATAGAGGTTTATAGAAGAATTTTTTTCAGAGTTTCAATGGGACCTCCAAAGCACTCGGCCTATATGAGCAGCAAAAAATCGACAAAATCAAACACAAATTAGATTTATTTTAGTTAACCGAATAAAAAATGTTATTGCTTGACCCTTCACTCTTTTCCAAAAGTTAATCCGGTCGCATTTATCTTACTCTCTAACCTTTTCTGGTCAACGGCTCTTTTTAGACGGCTCAGACTTTATATGCAACTTTCTCAAATCAAGGCACTCGCTTAAATTATTGTAAAAATGTTATATATTGTTTGCGCAAAGACACCTTGACAAACACAGGATTTTTGGAAATATGTAAAAAAATATTTTTTATATAAATAGCGTTGATGCGAGGTCTTGAGAGTTAACAAAAAAAGGTTTATTTCAAGAAAAGCGAATTTCATAACAGACCGGAGGTTCTTCTCAATCGTCTGGTGCACGCCCTCAATCATCCTCATCGCTATCGTGTTCCGAAACATCGGGTTCCTCCTCTTTCTTGATATCGATGTTGGCTATGATGGCCGTCAGCTTGTCTTCCAGGTCACGCTGTAGTTCCGGAGCCCTTACTCTGTGTTTTGCAAGGATAACAGGAAGTTCGAGTTTGAGATTTTGTAAGCGACCAAGGGTCTTTTCATATAGTTCGTCGGAAGATTCCTCTGGATCGTAAAGCATCCACGATCGGCCCATTGGCTGCAGCTCATCTGAGGTTCCAGCAAAGCGGAAGAGCATGATGTTCATTGCCCGAATCGAAGAACCCGCTCCTGCCGGCTGATAATACACATCCTTATGGGGTTGCACGGTCTGGTTTGGCCTCGTAAGGAACATGTAGGTCTCGCTGTTCAACGCCGACTTTGTTAGGTTCACAGCTGACAAAAACTCAAGGAAGTTGATGATATCATCTGATTGAATTTTGTGGGGGTTATGGCGGGTCTGCCAACGCTGGAAGTCGATCGCTCGGGCAGCAGGGACTCCGAGAAGAGCAACACCTGGAAAGGGGTACTATCGGCGTTGCAAGAGAAATTAGAAAGCGCTACTGCAACTTTTTTGCCGTTTGAATTGCTGAATATTCATATCCCCAGAAATTGGGGTCCAAACAACGACCAAAACTTACTTTCAGTCTTACCGAGCTTGTTAAGCTCGCTTTTGAGCCATTTTCGGAATCGAGCACTGCAGAGAAGAATTACCACCTCGTCGCTGCGATGATAGCATACAAAGAGCACACCCTAGAAAACATGTCTGGGTAAAGGCAAGACAGTGCTGTTGCTTGATTTGGCACCCTTTTTCGAGCGCGTTACTGTGGTTTGTAGGTGAATTAGATGCTTATAGCATTGAGCTGTGAATGAGTCGAAAAGCGGCGGAGCAGTTGCCACCCCTGGTTTCCTAATTGTGAAGCGTCAAACAACACCTGTCACTGGTGAGACTAAATATTGCGCGACGGAGCTTCTATTGCCCCAACATTCGTGACGGGAATTGGTTAAATTCCCAACCGGAACTGGGAATGATCGGTGCAGGGTTCCGGGTTAAAAAAAGTGACAGCGCGTCATTTCCAATTGACAGTCCAAAGCTAATGTTACTAATACCACAAACAAAAGACAGTAGATTTTTCTGTTATTGACTGTTAACTCAAAAGGATATAACTCTTCTTTATATACTACCCCCGCCATTATCTTATTATATTCTGGTGTGTGTCCCGAAAATATGAAGATTTTGACGAGCTTTGATTTTTCACCTCGCGGGACTGACAGAAGCTTGTCCGGTAGGACAGAACGTAAGGAAAGTGTGTTTTTGGATCACCGCCAAGTCAAAAAGCGATACCTCACCTTGTATGTGAACCAGCAGACGCTAACTCGCCTTGGTCGTTGTTTCGGTTGACTGATTGCCACCGTGCATGCTTGCGGGGTCAGTTCTGCATCATTAGGCCCCTTCTTGTGCACAATGAGCATATTGGGAGGATGGGAATCGTTCCAATCGTCATGCAGAGCCTCATCTTTCTTAGCGTCCGTCGGGAATACCGACAATTTCGGCATAACCACGTCAAAGCATCCGCCGTCATTGTTCAGTTTTTCTTTGATCTCTTTCGCCTTTTCTGCCGGGTTTTTTACCCTAGGGGAAAAGGCATTCAGAATACATGCGATTTCGACATCTCCATCCGCCATAACGTCTTTCAGCTTTCCTGCCTTTAATCCGGTTTTCATGTCGAATCTATCGACGTTCCAAAGCAATACTGACTTCCCACACATTGTATCGCCGTTGGGTTGCAGATTCGTCATCCTGTAAAGCTCTTTTGAAAAGGAGGACGAAAAACAAAAAAAGCTTTTGAAAATGATGAGCGCGTTTATTTCAGGATTGCGTCAAACAATACAAGAAGACCTATAATTATGGTACAAAAGTAAAAGCCACAGCTACCCGTGTAACAGCAAAGTCTAAAGCCCAAGATTGTTCTAGTCTGAAAAGCCAAGGCGCGGGCGGGGAATTTTATAGGCCACACATTCACATTATCACCAAATGCCAAGGCGCAAGCTAGGATTAACGACAGGCAGATGAATGTATGGGTGCGAAAAAAAGATATAAGACGGTTTATGACTATTTTGCAGGATCGTCAAACGTCAAAACCAGTTAGCTAGTTTCGGGATAGAGAGTTTCGGGATAGAGGGTTTCGGGATAGGGAATTTCAGGATTGAGGAAACACCCCTTTATCAGGTATCAAGTTCCTAATAAACCCAGTGTTTGTCGATACAAAGCAATAAAGCCGTAGGGGTCTTTTCGGATCAAGCTCCATTTATATAGGCGGAACCACGGCACACCACGACACACCACGACACTCTATCTAGCACCGGCTAAAGGCTGCCTAGCCGACATATCAGACTTGTATGTGCCCGAACCGTTGTCGTCTCACAGCCGTTTGGAAAAAGCTGGCTGCCAACGCATTTATGGAAGCTAGGCTTTAGCGTGACCGTCGTGCGTCCAATTAGATAATTCAATATATCTATTCGAAATCTGGCCTTCATTTAATTTCTGAAAAACCAAGAAAAAGGTGTTATAATTAAGGCAGCTGAGAGCTAACATTAAAAAAGACCAGAAAGCCGAAAGCTCAATTCTGATCGAATGTGAGGTGCCAAACTGTGGGCGACGCTTTTTCGACGCTACACATGCTCACTATCACAAGAATGCCTAGGAAGACAAGAATTTTGTCTTAACGATAAGCGAAGGAGGCATAAAAGGCAGCTAGTAAAAATGCATAGGCGCAATTTTGGGTTAACGACATAGGGAGGGAAGCGTAGCGTGCTTAAAAAACCCAGATAAGACAGCTTTCAGCCTGGGCAAATTGCTTTCCAGGATCGAATTGTTGCCGGGATCAGGCCAGCGGGCCAAAACTTTCATTAAAGCACATTTAAATCGTTTGGCAAGGAGTGGATTCTTGTTAATGTCATGCTAATGCTCATGCTCATCCTGGCAGCAAAACAACACCATCATCTTATTCATCAAAGCTCAAACCACTTGCACCAAAAAGGAAAGTAGGAAAACAACATTAAAAGGACAAGGCCATTCAATTTCATTCAAAAATAACTGGTCCAAACCAATATTCAAATCGGTTGAAAATTATCGCGAAAAGCTTGCAATACAAGCGATTCTGGGAATGGAAGTGGTTTTTGGTCGTGTCAAGGCACAAAAATCTTAATAATACTGAACATTACAGTTTACAACAATTTAATATTCCGGGGGTTCATCCTTGAGGCTGACTTCTTTAATTCGGTCGATGGCAGATTCCAAAATGCTCCACGGCCGTGATACTGTATCAACTTCTTTCAACCGAAAGAGAATCGGATCGTTCTTAAATTCTTCGCCCATCCGTTGGGTGAATACTTCGTGGTGGACTTGCACCTGGAAGTCCTGCGCGCTCAACAAGAAACAGTTCTGGCGGTGGATCCATAGATTGGTGAGACAATTATCTTCAATTAAGTCAAGGAATGGTTTCACGGCTTCTTGATCTTTGGGTCTGATTGCAGTTTTCCTCTGCAAGTCTACTTCACGACCTTCAAGCCAACCGAGCAGGAAGATTCCTGAAAAGATTTGCTATCAAAGAGGCAAATTTTCTTATTGTCAAAATTTTAGAATGTTGACATTCTGCATTGGAATTTTATATTGCCGAAATTCGGGATGCACAACTTTCATAATTTCGAAATTTCATAATACCGAATTTTTCTAGATACAAATCTCCGGGAAAAGCCCCAAAGAAAAGAACCCAAGGTTTGGCCTATGGCAATTCGAATTAAAATTTACGAATTTCGACATTTTGAGTTTCGACATTTTCATATTTTCAAAATCAGCCCTGATAGTCATGAGGAAGAATTAAGCCACTATTTAGAAAACTCACCTTTAAGATCTTTCGAATGCTCGACGGTCTCGGCTAGCCATTTCCTGAACCGGTCGGAAGACAGCTCTTCTTCTACCCGACAGCCGGCCACGCAAATGAAGAGCACCTCCTAAGCAAACTTTTTTGTGCGTTGCCACCGTTTTTTATCATTTCTTCACTTAAAAAGCTTATGAGGTTCACTGGAAAATATAAAAAATTTAGGTTTTTCACGAAAAATGACCGATATTTTACCAAAAGTCCAAATTTTTCAAAGCTAGTTCTAAGTTTTCAGCCTATCATAATTTTTCCACTTAAAATACTACTGAAATGAATTTTATGGAAAACTAATGTGAAGTCTGGCTGTTACCAGGCATTTTGGACTTAAAAAATACGATAAGGTTTGGGCCTTCTAAGTGCACAAAAAATCTTAGGTATACCGACTCACCTCCCACACCAGATGGCAGACACTGGCCGGAAAGGGCAAGTCGTCAACCTCTAGCGTGCATGCAGTCATTTCCAAAAAATCCGTCCCATTCCAGTATTTGTTATAGATCACCATAATGTTTGACGGAGTCTTTTGTAGGTCTTTGAATTTAGCAATATCCCTTCGAATGAATTGCGAATCCGTCGTGAAATTCTTGTTCTCGGGCACGACGGGGAAGAAGCCGCATGACTTTGCGTTTCCCATAAGCTCCTTCCGGATCACATGAGCCTCATCTTCGGGCTCGCCAAAGTCGTGTAGAATGAAAGCCAAATAAACGCCCTCCAGGATGCTTTTAAGAGCATTGCACAATTCTGCTGTGACGGCTGTTTGATCACGAATGTCCCAGATAACGACTCGCTGCCCTTGGGCGTAGAAGATTTTTGGCGCTTTTTTGGGGGGTGCCCGGGCTGGAGTTGGCATCCTAAAATTTGACGATAACGGAAAAAGTAAAAAATACCTTCAAAGTAAAGAAATTAACGAAAGAATAATAAGGAAACATTTCTAAGTTTTAAAAATTTTGAAGGATTACTTCGGCGGTAAGAAATGGATGCACAAAATAATTCCTAGAAGCCGCGAATGTACTATTTTAAAGCTATTTCTTTGAGATACTTAAAATCTATATCTAACAGCTGCAAAACTTTAAAGAAAAATACAGCACCTTTAAAGAATAAAGAAAATCGCAAAAGTATCGTGGAAGGCCTATGTTTTTTCATCTTTTGATTCGTCTAAGCATAAAAATTTACTTGGCGCCCTTATTTTCGGCGAAACTATCAAGCATTGAGACGGAAAATTAGGATAATCTTCTTGCCCCGGTAATTACCACCGCTCAACCCCTTATCAGCTACTTCCGAAACCTATGGTAAGTAATTCACCGCAATTTTTGACAGCTCAGCGATGAATCATTGATTCAGGGTTACCTTAGGCGTCCAGCGCCAAAAACCATTAGCCTGAGACGATAAAAAAGTTTAAAAAATTAAGAAGAACCAGAAAAGCATGAGGACGCTCGATAAGGCGACTTTTTAATATTGACCGATCGTTTTTAGATGCAAGCGCGAGCTCAAAAGGACACAAAGGAGGGTGGGATGGCGTGGAAGCGATAAGGCAGGTCTAGCTGGCGTAGAAGGCTTAAAGAGTGTTTCTAAGATAGACTGTCGGAGGAATGAACTCGGGGAGGGAAGGAAGAAGCGGTGTGGTGACATTTTCGCGCGGAAGCTTTTCATTGTTTCGTATGCTTCGTAGGCCTAGGCTAACGTGTGGTTTCACAAGAGTTCTTTCGTAAATGCTTACGAAATTTTTTAGGAACCAGGACAAACAATTCATAAGGTTTCGAATTCTGGTGTTACAGATCAATTGAGACGCTTTCAAGTTAAAAAACGTTGAAAATCCATCTAAAAACGGGGCGTGTTGACGAAATGATACGGTAAAAAGCACGTTATCGTTCGGTTTAAAATCCAATTCAGACCAATTTTTGCGAAATTCAAATTAATAAAAAATTAAAAACTGAAAACAACTCGGACGAGATGTTTCAAAGAGAGGTTTTTTAAATGTAGCAGTCGTTTAATCTTAACTTAGGTATTTACAGGCAATAAATGTACGCTATAAGAATAAACCATTTATGCAGGATTGAATTCAATTAACGGATCGACCACCCGAATGCCCAATTTTTCTTGCTGGGTCCTCAGATTTGCAAGGAACTTCTTGCGCTGTGTTTTCAAGGTCCATTCCGGTCGATGGGAGCAGATTAGCATCTAGAACGTTTGGAAAGATTAGACTTCTGAAAAATCGCTACCCTTTGCTCCGGTAGATACTTCATCAAGAAGCACGATGCGAAATATTTTGAGAACAGTTTGCGAATCTGAACAAAGACGATGCAATACCTGTGAAATCCAAATACCTCTTCCTCCTTGAAATCGGGATTCTCGTAAGCTACGATATTCGCGACGAGACCGCCTAATTTTGGTGATGTAAGATAACATAACTATCATTACCTGTAGGATTGACGATCTGTGCCATTGTCGATATTGTTTCTTCATTCCGAAAACCCTCAATCGGGCAAATGACCACATTTTTCTTATCGTTAGAACACGCGTCGAGGACGATAAAATCATATAATTCCCCTGAAAATTGGTATCAAAATACGTGAACATTAAATTCTAGCTTAAGCTCACTAAAAAACGAAACTTATGCTTACAAAGGCTTGTAATGGTTTGTAGTTTGTAGTTCCAGTTAGTAAACTAGAAGAAAACCTCAATAAAAGTACAAAAAAATTAAAAGTAAAATTAAAGAACACGCGGAAGACCAAAAGAATGCTAAAAAACATCAACAATGCTTCTAGGATGTTAAGGTAGACCTAAGAGTCTTGAAGCAAAGCTCACAAGTCCTCAACTCAACATTTAGGCTTAATGCCTGAAGTAAACACGTAATACAAACGATCAAATCTACCTCTAGCCAACGCTTCCTTAGCATAAACAATCCCGTCAGTAATCTCAATCCGATTCGACTCTGTCGGCACATAACCGTAAAATTTCTTCGCCACTTCGACCATGTCGGGATCGATTTCGACGGTTAGCACGTCAATCTGGAGGTATTTAATGCATTGGATTATAATATAGACATTTTTATTACTTACCTTTGCCTTTGGAAATTGAAAGAGATAGTTCTGCATGGCACCACCGCCCAACCCGAATGCGATAACTTTATTGTGACTTCTCGTGAAGGATAAGGCCTGAAAACAAGAGTTAGCGAGAGAGAGAGAGAAAGAAAGAGAGAGAGAGAGACAGAGAGAGAGCGGAGACAGCGAGAGAGATTTCTGGTTTTACCTCTATCATATACCCGCTAGCAATCATCACCATCACATACGGCGTTATCAACGTTTTGCGATCGATATCCCAATTAGCGCTGTTTGCATTGTCATCCGTTAAGAAATCTTTAAAAATAGAACCCTAAGCTTGAAGTTAAGCAAGCTAAAACAATTAAAAGTTGTTACTTACCTGGTACAACTAACATAGCCTGCGACAGGGAAGCCGTTTGAATTTTGTCGGGCACGATGTCGCGTTGGACTTTTAGGCTAAAAGGTAAAGTTGGAGATTTTCTAATTTTACTACAATTTTTTTTAGAAAACTCACTTTTCTCCATGCCTATA